GCCGCGCCGTAGCTCTTCCCAGCACTGACCGGGGGGAGCCGGCGCCAACCGCTGTCCCCGGCCGGGGTCTCGTCTGCGTTCCTGAGGGAGCTGCGCGGCGGCTGCGGGTGAGTGACGCCGGTCTCTCGCTGTCGCGGCAGCCCCTCGCCGCCCCAGGGGTCCCCCCTCGTCGCCGTCCCAGGGGTCCCCCCTGGTTGCCCCAGGGGTCCCCCCTCGCCGCCCCAGGGGTCCCCCCTCGCCCTCTCCTCCCGCCGGGGGATCCCGGCCGCCCTCGCTGAGAGGAGCTCCGCCTGCCCCGCTGAGGAGAAGCCACCTTCTCCACCCCGGCGCCGGTCGTGAAACGTTTTGTGGAGTTTCTGCCTCGAAGTTCAGTCCTTCCCGTGCCCGTTAAGCCCTCCTCGCCCTTTGCCTGCCCTTTAACCCCCGTTTTTCCAGGCGCCCCTGGGCGGGGCGGGCGCGGGGGGGGAGCCGGCGCCCCGGCACCGCCGTCCATCGAGCTGCTCCCTCGTTCTCCAGAAAACAGGTCGCCCCGGCAGCACCGCCACTTACCGTTGAATTTAACGCGGCTGGCGACCCCCCAGCCGTATCTGCTTTCAAGATGTCACTGCTTAGCTTAGCTGCAGCGTAAAAGCTGCTGGTTTGACCTGCGTAAAAATTACCGAGGTGAGGTGCGTCGCGGGATGAGGATGCTGCTCCCGCCAGGTGATTGGGTTTAGTTTTAACATCTCCTGTCCCTGCTGCTGCGAGAAGGTGTTGACTTGCTCAGAAGTGCAAGCCCGGACCTTTAATCCAGCATCACACTGCTGCTTTCTCTTAAGTAGTTGAAATCTGTTCTTTAATCTCAAAACCATTGGAGTAAGTGAGGAAACATCATAAATTCCAGTGTGGTTCCTGCATTCTTGGAGTTTGACTGATTTTTTGGTATAACCATTTTTTTCTGTCTTTTTATCTAAATATTGCATGCCTGGACCAGTCCCTAGTCCAGCAGAGTAAACCAGATGCTAACAGTGTTGCAAGTAGATATTGCCTGAAAAACATAGTAAAATTATTCTTCCTGTTGGTATGAGTCATGCCACCATGTTATGCGATTCCTTCCCTACAATTGTTAGCATTTGCTTTCTGATGGGGCAGGAGTAGTCTTACACAGTTTGTTGAGTGCTTTACGTTTTTAGACCCCATTTTTTTCATTATTTAATTGCTTTTTTGTTTGGATTCCAGCCTTCATGGGACCATGAAGTATATAATGCTTTCCTGTTTTGGCAAAGCTCTTTAGAAAATCAACAGCATGCATCAAAGAGCTTTCTATTTATCAAAAAAAAATAAAAACCACCAGGAGATGAAGTTATCCCTAAGTGATCAAATGGTTATACGCCTATCAGACCTAATTACAGAAATTCATTTCTTCCATGTCCAGCTTTAAACTTGTTGCTCACCCATTAAATCACAAAGGCTTATTAGGAGCTTTCAGTGTGTTACACACAGATGTATTTTGTGTGCTAAGCGTAATTGAAACCATGTTTAAAATTGCCTGGGAGAAGAAAGCCTGACTACAAGGACTAAAGGAAGGGTTCATCCGCTTTAGAATTTGGTGTCTCAGCTATTCATTTTTTTCAGAATTGTTGCAAATTAAATTGTCTGTAAACAGTGTGATGTTTATATTGAAGAAGGATCTATTTAATTGTAGGATGTTTTGGCAGATGCTATTTTACCAACACTCAATAGGTTTCTGATGGCTTGACACGGCTCCCTTTTTCAAGTAAAGCTGCCTCAGTTGGTTATCAGCTCTGCACTGTTGATTTTGCAAGGGATATCATGTTGGGAATTGCAGGAATCACAAGAGCGGAGGCACACTGCAGTGCCAAGTCTTTGTACAAATCATTGACTTAGGGCATTCTAGCTCATTCTGGCACCCACCTAGTTAGCTGTTTGTTTAAGAGGAAAAAAAACACCTCTGGAAGATGAGTTAGTCTACCTATGGTCTGGCTTACTTTCTAGGGGTGCCTCTTTCTCTTTGGTGGCTATGGAAGGAGTTTATTAAATTTTGGCACTAAACACATCAGTTTTGTTAGTGACCTTGTACTGTGTGGTAAGAGCTTGAATTGTGATTCCCACCCTCAGCCTGTCTGTCTAAAAAGTAGAGGGAATGAGAACATAGGGTGAAAAATGTGATATAAATCCAAAGTAGTATTAGTACTGCATTTGCCTTGCTGACAGTTGTCTTCCATGTCTGGTTTAGAAAATTTCTTTGATCAATAGTATTTATGATTTAGTGTCCCTATGTAATACTCTCCTTTAAATAGATGAAGTTTTCTGGATCCTGGCAGCTGAAAACATTTCTTTTCCCAGCCTGTGTACAGGCTCTGGTTCATTTGAGGATGTGGGTTGTGACAGGCAGCTGTTTTAAATAAGCAAGGCAAAGAGGACTGAGAAACAAAAGTTGTATGAAGTATGATTTGAAATATGCAGCTTTAGGAAGATTGATACAAAACAGATTGACTCTGTGGTCAACTAATACTAGACATTCATAGCAGGGGCTTCCTTTTCTTACACACATGGGTGTCCCAGGTACTGCAGCAGTATGTGCACCATACAGCTCCAATTCCCCACCAGTGACTGCTGAATACTATAAAACTGATCTTGAAAGAGGTTTCAGTTGAATTTTGATGCTGTAATGCCTTTGATGATGTTTATCTTAAGCATGTTTACCAGATGAATAATGGGAATTTCTTCTTCCTGTCATCCATGGCATCACAAAATCATTGGCCTGGATGGGACTTTGGGGATCATCTAAGCCAGCCTTTTGCTCTGAAGGACAAATAGTTTACCTGGAGATATTTATCTAGAACATTTGCAGACCGCCTACTGAAGGAGATCTCATCTCTTCCCAAGGTAATTCACTTCTGTGCTGTCTTCACTTCTTCAGTGATTGCTCTTTAATTGTCAGGTCTCTGAACAATTCCTGTTGCTGTTGAATGCTATTGCAGTTGCCACCAGGTTTCCAAAAGCCTTCCATTCTATTGATGTATCTATCGGTACTGATTAATTTCAAGTTAGGCTGGGGAGTCCTGAATCCATTTCTATCTGATTAGTTACACCCCAGGTTACATTCTTCCAAGAAGAAGAATTGCAAGTAGACTATATATTAATGAGTTAAAAAAATCTATCAGTGATTGTCCTGGTTTCAGCTGGGATGTAGTTAACTGTCTTCCTAGTAGCTGGTACAGTGCTATGTTTTGAGTTCAGTATGTGAAGAATGTTGATAACGCTGATGTTTTCAGTTGTTGCTCAGTAGTGTTTAGACTATAGTCAAGGATTTTTCAGCTTCTCATGTCCAGCCAGGGCACCTGACCCAAAGTGGCCAACAGTGTATTCCATACCATGGGACATCCCGTCTAGTTTAGGAACTGGGAAGTGGGGGGCAGGGATTTGCAGCTCGGGGACTGGCTGGGTGTCGTTCGGCGGGTGGTGAGCAATTGCCCTGCGCATCATTTGTACATTTCAATCCTTTTATTACTACTGTTGTCATTTTATTAGTGTTATCATTATCATTATTAGTTTCTTCTTTTCTGTTCTATTAAATCGTTCTTATCTCAACCCAGGAGTTTTACTTCTTTTCCTGATTTTCTCCCCCATCCCACTGGATGGGGGGGAGTGACTGAGCGGCTGCGTGGTGCTTAGTTGCTGGCTGGGGTTAAACCACGACAGTGATTCAGGCTACAGCCTGGCAAGACAAAGCAAGTTTGCTTTATTTCCCCCATAGATGTTGAATTTTTAGAAGGGGGAAGAATATAGGGTAAAATGAAAAATACCTTGCTCAGCTGACTTCTATATCTCTGACGTAATTTTGTGCCCAATCATCCTCAACTTATGGCTTAGTATTATCCACCATTTTATGTGTCCCCATTACCAGGTTCATCATAGAAATTAGACCTGTAACTGCTGTTAATGACGGCAAAGAATTAGAGTTTAGGAGGGTGATTATTTCCTTCTATTTGGCACTTATGAGGCCATATCTAAATTACTGTGTCCAGACTGGGGCTCACAGTACAAAGAAGACTGACAGACTGGGCTGAGTCCAGCAGAGAGACACCAGGAGGCCTTGGAGGTTGGAGCACATGTAGGAGTCACTGAAGGAGCTGAGTTTGCTTAGCACTGAGAAGAGAAAAGTAAGAGCAGCTCTAACTGCAGTCCTTGCCTAACAAATAGGAAGTTACTGAGAAGACAGAGCTAAGCTTTTTGCAGAGGTGTTCAGCAAAAGGGCAAGAGGAAATGGATGCAAATTGTAGCAAAGAAAATATAAGGAGAAAAAATGAATAGATGAATATAGGGAGAAAAAACCTGCACAGTGAGGATGGTTAAGCACTGGAACAAGTTGCCCAGAGAAGCTGTGGAATCTCCATCCCTGGAGTTCTTCAAACTCAGTTGGACAAACTGCTCTGTGATTCTGTGATAGACTAGAGAAATGCCATTGCAAAATTATCTTAATGACAAAAGTAATCAGAAAGGAGAAAGTATTCAAATTATGTGTCTGCAGTCCGTATTCAAAACCACTGGCGCAAGAGCCTATTCCTGTTCTTACCTGCAATTTATGGAAACAAAGTACACGGTCATTCCAGGTTGGAGGATGGTGACAAAACATGACTTCTCTTAGGCTTAAAAAAAGAGTCAGGAGTGATTCATTCTCAGATGAAGAACTGTGCCGTGCTAGTGCGGTATTCATATCTTTTCAGATTGGCAAATCTAAACCAAGCTATTCACCAGAACAATGGCCATGATTGTCACTTTTCTTGTGGCATTTGGTAATTGCTTCCTATTTCTCAGAGGTAGTACTTTGCCTCTTTCAGGGTGATGAATTATTTAGATGTCTAAAAACCTTCCCTGGCTTCCTGTCTTCATTCCCTTTGTTGTTCAATTATTTGCACTTTTGGCAAGGTCATAGATAATCTATTACCATCATGTTGGGTTTTTTTAAATGAAATTGATAATGTATTTTGTGCAATGGTTTTGAGTCTCTTTTAATCTTTGTAACCAAGACACAGATTATTAAATGATGATTTTATAAAGTACTTAATTATTGATAATGCAGAATAAGTGCTTGACATTAGTTGGTAGTAATTACTGTATGTGATTAATTTGATACTCATAGGCAGAAGTTTCTGCATAAAGATGATTTAAGTCATATATTAAGGACTGTATTTCTTTATTCTTGACTAGTGTTGCATTTATTTAAATTTACTTCATATTTTCTTTTGTTAGAGAATTCAAGAACTTTTCCCATGAAAACTGGTTTGATACAGTTGTGATACATATTATCACAATTTACTATACAGCATTAAACTAGATTATTAACATACTGAATAGTCGAAAGGCATTGTAGCTGTCCAAAGCATGTTTATATTCTGATGGTCATTTATTATATTACACTGCCCTTTAGTAGCATACGGCATTTGTACTATGCATCAATAAAAGTGATCTAGGCTGTGTCATTAGTGAATGGACAGTGTAAATGACTGGAGAGAGAGGCTTAAATTAGACATTTGTTTAAATACAATATTTGAGAATGCCTCTTAAGAGCAAAAAAGAGTTTGGATTTGTTTTCCATATAGGAATTAATTTAAACAAATAGTCTAATATGTCATGACTTCCACAATACTTTGCCGCTATATTTAATGTTGGATTTAAGTGCTATGTAACAAATAGGGCAAATAGCTTTCTGTCCAACCCCAGAGATGTTTACAAAATCAGGAGATCAGGAGTCCCGTTTGGCCAGGTTTTCATCGTGGTGATATAATTAAGTCAGGAGTCATGCCACTGAATCTAACTGATGACCCTTGTATTAAATTGGTCTTAGAGCAGAGAGTCAATTCCCTTGACCTTAAAAGCAGTTTTATTTTCACTTTTTTTCCTGAAAGAGGGCATGCAAGATTTGGATGTGTGTATCTATATTCATTTCATATAATTCAAAAGAATAAGAATCTACTGAAGAGTTACTAGAAGTTTTAACACAATCTGCCTTGGAAAGACTTCTTTTTGTGTCACTTACTTCCTACTCACTGGTCTATAACAAAGAGCCATTCTATTGTGTTTATTCTGGAAAAAACCCATATCAAATTATTTTTCCTTTCAGATATTAAATTTGATCAGGTGATAAAAAAAGTCTAAACTTAGAAAATCCATAAAGAAGCACATTTCCCTAAGTCAGTGCTTGGAACAGTCTATTATTTGCTTGTGAATTAGGCCTAGGTTGTCAAAAATATTTAGATTCTTTAGTGTTGTCCAAATACTTTTGAGGATATTGGTATAATGGCAAGAAAGAATGCAGAATCCTATACATCAGGCAAGGCATCACTCACCTTTTAAACATGGGGACCTCCATGTTAAGCATTTGTGCTCACAAGGAAAAAGTTGGGGCACACTGCAGCAAGGGTGCTTGTGGGCGTTGAGCCCCAGGTTGCAGTTCTGCATGCATTTTCCATGTGACCTTTAGAAATGTGGGGGAAAAAAAAAAAAAGGTTGAAATCTTTTCTTTTGATCCTTTGGAGAGAAATTCAGAGCTTCTCAAAACCAATGAATCTAAGGCAGGGTCATTAAACTTAAGTGTATGTAGCTCTGAGGTATTAAAATTGGAGGTTTTGTGCTGGGAAGAAGTTGTGGAGTGAATTCCTGGCCCTTCTGAAATCAGTAAATGTCCTGTCCTTGGCTTTAGTGGAGACAGAAGGTCATCCTGGTTATCTGTCCTGCTGAGCAGTTTCAACTTCTATTATGGAAGCAGTGGTTGAAGACTCTCTTTATCAGTATTCTACACAGATCCAGAAACGTAAAAAGTGGAAACTGAAAGTTAAAGATAGCCGTATCCATAGTCCTGTTCCTGTTGTTTGGACTCCTGTACCCTCTGTGCCTGGGTGCTTTTAACCACACTGCTGCTGAATGTTTACCTCTCCCTTCTACACAGGGGAGTTTGCAGGTGATTCATGCCTTGTGAGATCTGACATACGATCAGTCCCCCCAGGACGGGGCTGTGCAAGTCACGGAGTTTCATCCTGTGACAGTGTGAGTGTAAAAGCTATAAAAGGAGTGCTAGATAGCTGTGTGGTGCTTGAGATGATGGTCCTCCTAGGAATGGAACTTGCTAATACACTGACACGTGTATTTCAACTCCAGTCTAACTAAAGCCCTCCATATAGCGTCCTGGGTGCTGGCAAAGGGGAAGACCATTCTTGCCGAAGTTGGCTGCATTCATCAGTCAGGCTCTAGGTGGAGTAGAAACCACAAGGCCTTTTGCACTTTTCATGCCTTTTTTTTTTCTTTTTTTCTTCCTTGTTAGGATGGATATCTTGTTACTTGTGCAGGAGGAAAGCCAACATATATCAGGACAAACTTTTGTTTTAATATTCCTCAGAAATAAGTGGCAGGAAAACTTTAAAGTTATTGTCTGTTTAAGTTTAGGTTAAATTGAACTTATTGAGTGTGGTGTATTTTTCCCTATGCTATAACCAGGTCCTAAAAACAAGAGGGTTTTTTCATTGCTTATCTTTCTTTGTCCATTCTTCCTGAATTTCTCTTAAAGTGTCTGGAGTCTGTGTGGTTGGGTTTTTATTTATTCATTCTTAAATACAGTAATATTATTTGGACTATTGTCTGGCAAGCATTTCTTGTAAAAAAAACCCAAATAAATAGAAATTTCTTCTTTCCTGATAAGTCTTGTGCAGGAAAAGGTGGATGAATGATGAATCCCTTCACGGTTCTGGCAGTATTGCTCCTCCTGAGGACTTGCGACGCTACATACTCACAGCAAGGTAAATGTCTGAACATTTGCTTTTTTATTTGGAAACAATCTACAGCAACTGAAGCTTTGGACTTGCTCATTTGTAAGTCTGCTGTGATTAAGCAACATGTTACACGCTTAATCAAATGATTGCCTTTGGTAAGGTGATGAAGCAACTTGTATAATTACCTTTTGTAACTGCATCAGTTTTGCCGTTTTGCAAACTGCCTGTTGAAGAGATAACTTGCAATGATGTGAAGCCCGAGTGTATTTATTTATCTTCTCCCCCTCTGTCTCATATGTTTTTGGTCTGTACTCTGTCATCTTCAAATAATTTATTTCCTCTTTGACAACTTTTATGCTTTTCTACCTCTTCCCTTCACTTTCTCTTTTTTGTTTGTCTCATCTATGAAAACTTCAGCACTTCTGTTTGCTCTTTTCTGATTGTGCCACAAGATTCCAGGATTGGATTTTTATTTCTTACACTTCACATGTGTATCCAATACAAAGAAAAAAAGTAAATATGCATATTTGGAGGCAAAAAAGTTGACTATAAGAATAACTTTCCAGAAGTCTGTGTATTTTAAGGTAAAAGTACTGCTTGTGCACTTGCTGCTGGCAATAGCATTGGGCATGACTCCATTAAAAGAAAAAAAAAGGAATTAATATTTTTAATGGACTTCTTGTGACCACCATTAAGAAGGCAGAACTTATCAGACTATAGTCTGCATTATAGAAGTTGTATTGCTTTCATTAAGTTGGTGAAGGAGGGAGAGGGGTGGGTTTATTTTATATAAATGTAGTTGTTATCATGCTGAAGGGGATAATATATCTGTTTCAGACTTTTTTGCCTCTCTTCAACCTTGAAATTCATATGTTCACATTCCATTCACCCAAGGTGCTGGTTCCTCATCGTTACCAATGCCCCTAAAGTAGCAAAACTTTGTAATGCAGGCAAGTCCAAACAGTTATTGCATTACAATAACTTGGTCACTTGTTTTCACATGCAGTTGTTCAGGAATAAAATCAGTCTCTGTTGTTAATCATAAAGCTATTCATATGGTCTTGAGTTAGCCTTCAAGTTAAAACAAGTCTTAAGACGCCTTGATTATTTAACTTTGCTAGGAGGGGAAGATTATAACTGTGAATGCTACAAATACTTCTACATGTGTAAATTATACTAAAAAAGTCTTTAAGTCCCACATTGTAACCCAGTGGTCTTCAAGATCTTGGATATATCCTTAACTATATTATTTCTTCTGTTTGTTTGGTACTGTGTATAAGCCCTGACTGGTGATCTAGACTGTCTTATGTCAGGCTCCAAGGAACAAAACTGTGTGAGGTCTGAAGTGATACGTCATCTAACTAAAAGGAGATAGTGGAGGGACACTTGTACAGATGGAGAAAAACCAGAAACTAACGAGACCTTTGTTTTTTTTGTCAAGTTATTTAAATGTGGCAGGTGAAAATACTCTCCATGGTGAGAAAAGGGATGAGATTTGATTGCATTTACCTTACAGAAGACACTAAAGCTGTCAAATTCTGCTTTCATGTAATTTATACGTTCATCTTTTTCCAGTAATTATATATTAAGGCTGCAGTAAGAATTGATCAAAGGCAGTGTGCATATATGTGTGTGTGTACTTCTTCCTGAAAAACTTTTTCAGGATACCACAATCCTGTTTCTGAGACCAAGCATTTGAACAATGAAACCTTAATTTCTCCCTCCAAGTATATCTGAAGAAGCCTATGCCAGTAGTTTCCTCTAGATTGAAAGCATACGGTTTCCATTTTGCTTTGACTTCCACTACTTTTCAAAATGGAATGGATTAAAAATATACCAACAGAGTCTGTAGATGATTTGCAAAAGAGAAACAATCCTTTATTTCAGCAGTTTTTTATAAGTTATTACTAATGGTACAATATTTACTTTCTTCCATTTATTCTTTATAGGCTGGACTTGTATAAACAACTAAGCTGTGTCAGTGTCTGTATTCTTGTAATTAATAAATATGCTTATAAAGTATTATCTGCTTCCTTTGATCAAGGATTGTTATAACTGCTGCTTCTCTTGAGCCTTTGCTTTCCTACAGTTAATGTAAAGATCCATACGTAGGGAAACTGCTGTGCAGAAGTTAGTGCAGAGCAGGCACCACAAGATAAACTGTAAAATGGCTTGGATATCTGACTGCTGCCAGAAGCATCTATCAAAATGTAGATTCTCAAACTAAATTTCCTGAATTTAGTGTTATTTTGTGTTTCTGCCAGTAATATTCTGTAAAAATCTCAGATAATCATTGGGTCAGTGGGTGAAGCACATCCGTGAGAAATATCTGGAGGTGACATTTTTGTGAGAAGGAGATGCTGAGGTCTTTCAGTTCAGCATATGTCCCCAAGGACTGTGGCTGTAGTGGGGCAGGAATGCCCAGAATGAGTTCTGTTTTATTAAAACATACAATTATTTCTGTGATTTGTTTTCTGTGTCCTGGTCAGTATAAGCATTCTGACCGTGTCATTTGTTACAAGCAGAAGCATGTTGGAAAGCAACTGTGGCAAAAGAAAAATCCTAGTTATTTGGCCATTTCAGTTCCCTGACTTCATTATCAACCAGATTAAGTTTAGGGGTTTTTTTGTTGTTTGTTTAGTTTTCAGGAAGGAGAGAAGATACAGATCAGTGAGCACCATATTTCATCTCTTCCAAGAGTTAGGTTTTTGTGGGAGGGGTGACAGAGAAAACATCTAAAAAGGGGGACCATTCATAGGGTGATCTGTAGTTTTCAGCAGGCTAGTCTTCTTAAGGAGCCTTTCCTTTCCTGACACCAAAAGGGACTTCAGTCTGACTTTTAAACTTTATTTTATTCTGAGAATTAACTTCAGACCCACAAAAGGATGGAGGTGCCATTATAACTAGGTGTCTAATTCCAGTAGAAGAATCCACAGCCCTGACTAAAGTACCTAAGCAATGTGTAGAGCAACCAGGAACGTGCCTAATACTAGACTACCTTCTGAGCTAGCTACTGGAGGGAAACTCAACCTATCCTGTTCAAATACTTAATTTGCATTAATTAATTTAATCTTTTTTAGGTCAGAGAGCAAAATTGAGCCTAGATTTTCTGTCCTAATGATAAGAAAGCTTGCTGGGGGTTGGGATTTCTTGGGATTCAGTCCCTGTTAATACATTATGTTGTCCCTCTTCATAAGACTATAGGGATGGATCAATATTCCCATAAAGTAGCTAGTAAATTGAGGGCATAAAGAAAGTAAATAGCATACCCAATGTCATGGTGGGGGGCTATTGAGTAGATTCAGGAACCTCATTCTAGCCTGCTGATGCCTTAAGATGAAAGATTATCTTTGCTTTTGATATCAACAGCATGGGTCTTGATCACTTTCTTTCTTTTTCCCTTCAGAACTGTCTGGTGTGGAACCTATCTTACCTCTAACCACTGTTGTTTCAGATCTGCATTGTAACGCAGCTGAATGTTAATATTTTTGTGTCCTTTTTGTACTCACAGAATCCATTGTGTTTCCAGTAATGTACCTTAACATTTCCAAGGATTTGGCTCTTCAGCGGCTGCTGGTGGAATGGGATGTTGGCAAGTCAGCGCATGATAGTGAGCTGGCAATGTCTTTTGAAATACAAGTCCGTCAAACACATGAAAATACTACTGTGTGGACAGTAAGTGTATTTTTAAAAAAGGTATATTAGTTATTTACAATACAAAGGAAGCTAACAGAAAATCAAATGTTCAGATACATATGCAGATAGCTTTGCTGTATAGGTTTACAACTTACAACATAATATTTACAAAACTGTAGTAGAAATACCTCAGTATTTCACTAGGTGCAAGACTTGATGTAATGTTATGCTCAGTTTTTGTGCAAAAAAAATACTGTCTCAGATGAAGAATTAATTTCCACCTGTGCAGAATGTAGATAGGCCTTGCACACCCTTATTGAGGGATTGTGGTGGGCAGACTTAGGACATCTGATTTTGAAGGTCTTTGTTTCCCTTCCAGGGTGCACATCACTTAAGTGGCCTCCCAGCGTCATCCCTTCCCTTCCATTGCTCCTAAAGGCAGTCTTTTCTGTAGCATGATTGCTACCTGTCACTGGGGACTAATTGAGCATGAGTCATGTTGCTGCAGCTCCTCTCACCTTATGAACCATATGATAGTCTCAGTGTGAGCAAAGCCTTTTAAGCCCTGTGCTTGGACCTGTTAGCAGTTACCTTGTGTCCACCTCTTCCAGTTAAGTAAGAAGTAGTGATGTCTCTTTTGCAAAGTCCCTATCCTGCTAGTTTTCCTTAACGCCTAAATCAGCCAAATTTTCTGAAGAGGTGGAGATCACCCAAATCGTAGGCTTAGGCCTGCTCCTGATGTTTTCCCCAGTATGTGACTTCAGTGTGAGAACTTTTGTTTCCAGAGAAAATTTCCTTTCCTTTGGATCTGACAAAATCTTTTGGGAACTAATGCATGTTTTAGGGATATTATAACCTATTATGAGTCATCTGCTGATTGAACTATGGAAAAATATGAAATGCACATGTTAAAAATCAGTCAGACTGGAAAACTGCTCTAGCTCATTTAAAGCTGCTATTTGTGAGAAAGCACATAAACTGGAGAAGGGCTTATTTTTTCTGAAACCAGACGTCAACAAAATAAGATGGGCACTGTTAAGAATCACAGCTTACTCTGCTCAGCCAAGTTGGTACTATTTTTTCTCTGAGTTTGAAGAACCACATCTTCACTGCAGATGAGATCTATGCAGTTCAGAAGATTTTGACCACTTTGATATATGGGGTAGGATTTTTAACACCCCATGACTAGATCTAACCCTGAAATCAGAAACTGGGTACATATAGCTACAAATAATTAAGTGGACGTTTTGGGAGTATCCTTCCAACAAACTCTTACTAACTTGCTGGAAAAGAGAAAGAGGTTTTCAAATCCAAGGATGTAGTCTGTTCTGTTACTCATAATAAACACGACAAGGAAAACAAACAGGGTATTTTGGATGTCACTACCACACAGCAAAGTATTTGCTTCTGTGTTTTTCTGAAGAATCTGTACAGATAAAGAAACTTTGTGAGTCTGCTCATACCAAAGCACGGACAGTCTATATAACTTCCAAAGCAGTGACTACATTCCTCAGTGCTGTAACTGAGAAATTACATTGTAAACTGACTGCAGAGTTTTTCTCAGAGTGGTGGTATTATGAAAGTGCAGGTGTTGCTGATGGAAAGAGGTAATGGAGAGCAGTTCTGTAGTTGTCAGTGTGAGCCAGGGCTCTGGTACAGCTCATACAAGCAGCACAGATCTATATGCTGAGAATCTGGTATGGTTGCTTTAAGAAGTACTGAAATATATATTGTGTTCTAAAATGTATTCATAATTACAGGTGATTAATAGAATTTTTTGAGCCATTTTTTCCTGCTTCTTACGGGCTCTCATGTGAGGGGAGATTCACAGCTGGGGTACATTTTCATTTGTCTGTCTGTATGACTACATGGTACCCTGGTTAGTTTGAGTTGCTCTGCCGTGTATTGGTGCAGGTCATTCGATGCCCAGGTGGGCCTTAGTAGTACATGCTGAAGGAAATTTGTAGGATATCTTCTCTTAGAGAGCAGCAGAACATTTTATATTTTTTGCTGTTTGTCTGCATTTATATAATTCAATATAAAAATAGTTGCCAAATTACAGAGCATTTAGCTCTCATGATTTTTGAACTCCATTTTACATTTTAGGCTGTCCTTCTGTTACTTTTGTGGAGCTCTAGCAGTTTTGGATGTATTTTTTCTTGTTTCTTAGATGTGCGTGTTACAGCAGTCAATCATTTTGGGGAGATCAGCAGATATGTTCCTACTCTGCCTGCCACTGATGGTAGTACTGACCTCAGATGCTGTGCCTTAGAACTACAATGAGATATCACCTGTGTAAATCTTTATTGGCCAGTTCAGATTCCTGCTGTAATTCAGAGCCAGGGATATGTAACGTGGAGCATTAGACAAGGTGCACTTGCAGGCATCTGTGTATGCTATTACTCGTGTAACAGCAGGCACAAATAACCCACTAAAAGTCTCTGAGAGTGAATCAATTTCATGAGAAGCAGGGCCTGACTCACAACTCTGTTCTCAGAATCAAGTAGTCTTGCCAGCACATCAGTCACTCCCTCACTGCTAGTACAGATTTGTAAGCAGTTGCTTTACCTACTAGTTACTTAGTGTGAGATCATGTGTAGCAAAGTGGGATTTTAGAGTTTCATTTTTCAAGAGCATTTTCGTCCTTTGAGCTTTCTCTCTCTCACGCTGCTTTTGATTGTACTTCCAAAGTGTTTACACATTGCTGTGTTTTCAATACTTTGCTTTACTGGCCTTTGTAGGAGTTTCATAATGTCACACTTGATAAATCAGGAAAGCCTCTTCATTGGATGTGGGATTCAGATTTACCTTTGGAGTGTATGTCTTACTCGGTGAGAATCAGGAGCAAAGCAGAAGCATCAAAAATCTGGAGTCAGTGGAGTTTGTGGGAGACTGTCCCGGGTAAGCAAAACAAAATTTTGCAATATTGGTTTTATTTTTTCCAGTACAAAGCTAGATTGTAATTCTCTGGTGACTGTAACAGTGAAGTCCAGTTCAGGAGAGGTGGCATCAAGTCAGGAATCCATTTTGAACTCTTATCTCTAAGCTCTAAACAACTTTTTTTTTTCTTTTGCTGGCAATAATAGCAATGCTTCAGCCATTGTTTTAATTACAGGCTATCCTCCTCAGCTAGCAGACAAAAAGTTTCAAAACTTTTCTTGCTCATATATTAAAAAAATGCAGTACATAGAGTGGCGTGGGATCTTGGATAGGCTCTAGCATAGACTATCAGAAGGTCAGATGCAGCCCTGGCCCAGACTGGAGGAGAGAAGAGGAAGTGCATAGCTCTGGCTACATCATTTGATGCATATGTTGCTGTTGTCTGGGGTTCAAAGCATTGATTAGTATTAAAGAAGCAGAGAGAGAGGAGCAAGTCAGCTCCATATGTCACTTGGAATGAACTTCTGTGAATTATATCAGAGTAAACAGGGAGAGAACCAATAATGTAATTAATGATATCACAAACCCCCTTTTTTTCAGATTACAATATCTTACTAGAACAGTTTGGTTTCCAGAGAATTTGGTTTAAACAAAATATGTCACTGCTTGAGGAAAAAATGGCTACAGTGATTTTGTAAAGAAACACTATTCTTGTTTGGAGCAGCAAGGGCTTTTAGTTATGGGAAACATCATGGGTAGTAGAAGCATCACAGGTCTGTATGCTTGGATTGTGGTACGTAAATTGCCCATCTCCATCACACTGTATAATGGGAAATAGGATGCAAGACTCCCTTTTCTTTCTCACTAACCTCCATCTTGGAGATTTTATTTTTTCAACTGAAGTTGGATATACTATTTTTTTGTCACAAACTGATCCTGCATTACAGATCTGATTTAGAGCTTTCTGAGAGACAGTGCGTCTAGACTTCATCAGATTTTTGGATCAGATTCTTGAGAGTAGATTTTTATCTCCAACCTGTGCAAAAGCCTGTAAGTCACTTAAATCCTGCTAAGTTTTGCTTCCAGCAAGGAGTCCAACATTGAAACCATAGGAGTCTCATTCCAAGTTGAGTATCCCCTTACTGATGTCATTCATTGAATGTTGACTCTTCTTAGCTGAGCTCTGCATGAGCTTCAGAACATGATGTTTTTCTAGCCCCCTGCTCATAATCTTCAAGAGCCTGTTCATAGGTGCGGGAGGTACTGTTCATCTGTACAGGCAGTTCTTAATGTACCCTCTTTGTTTCACCTAAGTGAAAGTGGTTTTCGTCTCTTAGGTAGTTTGTTGGACTACATCATATGTTTATGGGTTTAAGAGAAATACAGGTATGTTTACATGTGAAGTTGATCTCTGTAGGGGGAAGAATACTAAGTAAAAGTCCATGAATGGTTAATATAACATTAACAGATTCTTGTATAAATGCTCAGTTATGTGTTCTGGTTGAAGGCTGCTGCCATGAGCAGATTTTGGAATAGTTTATTATGTATTGATTTGCAGGCCTGGACACTTCAGATAACAGTGGACCACAAATCTTTCCAAATGAAAAAATTGTAGAGGAAGGCTCTGACATCACTTTTTGTTGCATTGGAAGGAAAGGTCAAATCGTTAAGGAATTTTTTCTAGTCCCAGCTGTTCATGTTTCCAGTCACACAAACAGTCAAGTTGGACTTCTCACGGTGAAAAATGTGGCACATCAAGAAGTGCCTCACATCAGTGTCTACTGTCAGGAGTCTTGCAATGAAGAGCAATGCTATGATCATGCAATTTTCTTCGTGGGTAGTAAGTGAATGCTTTATTACAGTTATATTTTCCTGTTGTTATTAAGCCAAGAATGGCTGTGGGGAACAGAGGGAGGAAAAAAACCCCCTTGCTGTAAGTTGTCATTATCCTGTCATGTCCAGCTGAATTCTGTTTACTGTCTGACTTCAGATCTGTACACTTGTATATAGAAAGCATTAAAGAATAGCATTAAATATGTTCAGATTAATCTCATTAATTGATCCTAGTACAGGTGACTGATTTTTAAATATACCTACCCATTTAGGACTTCAGCTTCATTGTGCGCATGTGGTAAAAACTCAGCACAGAGCCCCTTTCGAAGGCTAGTAGCAATTTTTACAGATAGAAAACAGTACAGATTAAATTAATGAATGTATGAATATAACAAAAAAATAATAACATACAGAAGTGTTTGGATTGCAATTAATTTATGGTGTTATCCTGATTTTCCCTGCAGAGTGGTCATTGAATAAGTATAATTGAAATAATAACATCTGTAGTAAACCAGACTTTGTACATATCCATTATTTCTAGTTTGTTAATATAGTAAAAAGGTTGATGACTTTTGCCTTGACTGCCATGCTGTTGGTGTTTTTTTGGTTATTCCCTCTGACAAGAACCACCTGATACACCTAATGATTTTTCCTGCCAAACTCAAGACATGAGAATAGTAACATGTACTTGGAGCCAAGGAGGAGACACCCATCTTTATGGACGTCATTCACCAAAATACACCTTGTCTGAAGAGTATGTCTCCTTATTGTTATGTTAACTCTGGCCTGTGCTGTACAGAACAGTCACGTTCTTTCCTTAAGATCTGTGGAAGTGTTTCTTATCCTTGTTGCAATCAGCTGCCTTCCTCTTTCCAGCTCACTGATCAACTTATTTAACAAAGTTTGAGCAGTGCAGAAATGCTCTGAATTAGACTACTTATAACAAAGTTGCGGCTCCATCAGACCAGGTTGTGCTTGATCAAGCTTGTTCTAACCTTTCTTTTGGGGTAATTTGTTTGGATATCTTTCAGTAGATATGAAGACACCCTGCAATCACAACAGATAACTTAAAAGTACAATGTAATTATTGGGTAACACACATAACATATAATTAGGATTTAATTAGCTGGTAGGCTGAATATTAGTTTGTTCACAATCCATTGACACTAATGCTGACTCAAAGTGATGATTCCCAGCTAACTCTGTTAGCCTAATTAGCCTCCCTATTTTTTTTTTCTTTAGGATTTTATAGCTTTACATGCTGGTGTTTTCCTTCTTGAGTCCTTGAGCTACTGACAGTCCTATATCAAAAATCCTACTTCTGTCTATAATTTCAGGTTTTTTTGTTTTGGTGGGGCGAGGTTGGGGGCGGTTGGTTGGTAGGTTTTTTTGGTTTTGGTTGGTTTTTTTTTGTAAAATCGTTCTGCAGACTTTTTCTCAGCTCTTTCTTAGCAGTCTGAGTCAAGGTTACACAGCTGTGGCATATGAGACCTGGCCCTTGGCTCCTTGCTACAGAGGTATCTAAATGAAGAGGAGAGGGACTTCACAGCAGGGCCTGCAGAGAAAGGGGAACTCATAAAGCAGGACAGATACCTCATCATCACAACAAACATTCATCAAAAGATCTCAGCAGAAGGCTGGTCATCATTGCATATACTTTCATGGTTTCTGCATCATTGACTTCCATTGAGATATTCTGATGGTTTAAAAATGGAAGGTTAGAGGATGCACTTGAAATTACTGCTTCATTTAAAAGCATAATGGTAGACATGTGAATGGTTTAATTCTTGGCAAATAAGTCCCTAGTTCAGAATTTCCATGAGGAAATCACTAAAGCAATTCAGCTGTATCTTAAAAGGATATCAATTTAGCTGTATCTTAAAAGGCTGAAGTAAACTTAGACTTTGAAGAAAACATTCTTCTAATTGTAAGAATACCTACTGTACTTCAGGGTAGCGGAAAGAACTGGGTGGCTTCTTATAGTCCCACTCAGCCTTATTTTTGATGGTGCTGTATTCTAGTTGGGCATCAAAAATTGCAATACCTATATCAATTGTACATTATGGAAAAATGTCTTTCTCTTTTTTTTCCCCCTTCGCCCCACCTTCTTTGATAGGTTTTCCCAAAAAACGGTTCCATGCACAGTAAGTTGTTCGGAGCAGTGCTCGTGTTCTTGGGATATAGGCCAGCAAAGGATCTGTAATATCACAGTGACTGTGGAAAACCCACTGGGAAAGAAAACTGCCACGGATGTTTTTGATGTAACTCACAGAAGTAAGGTCTTTTCTATGTCTTTGTTGAGGTTTTTTTTGTTGCAGGTCTTGTCCTCCTGATCTTAATATTTGAATGCTCTAGTTTAAAGTATGGAAGTGGTTGGTTTTTATTTTCACAGTTTTTATTAATTATCTGTCCCTGTGCTATAGTTATGTGCTGTCTCTTCAGTTTCAGCTTTGCAAAATTGCGTTAATGGTAGAAAACAGCTTCACTCCAAAGGTCAGATTTGGTTACTGAAATGACCCCTTAATGCTTCAAAATCTGCTGCTTTGCTGAAGCTGGTTCATAGCACAGGAAGCAATATGATACAAGGACATAAAATGGGGAGTTCAAGAAAAATATCTGTGTAGGTTACTTGGGAATTCAGTTCTTTCTCCAAAATATTATTGCTGATGTTACTGTCTTTCCAAAATAAAATGGAGTTGCACATTTTGAAAAGTGGGTAAATAAAATTACTAACACCTCTCCAAATGAGAAGCAATACAGGTGTAAGCAGCTATTGCCAGGAAAGAGGTGATAGTGCTAACTTGTCTTGGTGCTAATGTGGGACAGTAACATCTGCTGTGCTACTGTAAGGGAAGAAGAGTAGTTCATCATCAGTGAAATAAAGCAGATTATTCTGTGAGTGGTAACTGATGGCTGATTTTCTGTCTTCCCTATTAGTTGTGTCCTTTATCACATTGTGCCCCAGGTCCTGTAAGTTCCTACCTACTCCTGCCTCAAAACGCCTGGGTATTTCATGTGTCTCCAGCAGTATTTCCAGTTCTCCTTGTGTCCTCTCGCCTCGCCACATCCACCTCAGTGTTCCTAAGGTCCTGTGGCTGCCTTGCCTGTTTGAAGAAGCAGGAGGCAACATGTGCTTTTCTTAGTTCTGAAGCTGACAGGTTGGTGGACAGGGAGGCTGCTGGTGTAACTGCTGCATTGTCGCAGCACTTCCTTCCTCAGAGGCACTGATTACAGTTTTGCTAGCCATGCTTTTTCATATGACTTGTAGGAACATACATTAAATGCCTGTCTGTTAAATTTGTTTCAGAGAGGCATGAGAGTTCTAAAAGTTGATTACTTGATTGTTTGGGGGTGGAAGACATAGAGCAGGAAGAAAATGGAGGAGCAAACTGACAGATTGTAGTGAAACAACACAGTATTATAAACTAAGTTTTCATGGGAAATCAGACTAAAATAGGTTACATTCAATGTGCTAAATACATTAATGTTTTACTACAATTTTCTTTTCCAATTCTAGTGATTGTTACTAGTTAAAGAAATGATATATAGTATTTATCATGAGTTAACCTTTTAAATAGTGATTGCTGTAAAGTCCTTTATGTTTTCTCTGATCCTGGATGTATTTACAGCAGAATTTTCCTTACTTAAAGGATGTCAGCACGTAAAGGAAAACTGAAGTCCATTGTTTCCAATTCTGCATGTGGTAGCTGGGACCTTCTGTATCAAACACAAGTTCCTTTGAGTCTGGAAATCCTCAAATTATAATTCATGGTACTTGAAGTTCCAGGATAATGGCCAAAGCTGTAAACATACTACTCACTTGCGTTGCCATGTCTTATTCCTTACAATTGGACTGATAACCTGGGACAGTTTGAGATCTGCTGCTCTCACTGAATACTGCTTACATAGCAGTTAAGAATTTCAGAAATCTTTTGGAAGGAGTGGCATTGGCACTGTTTACCAGAGGGTGATTACTGGCAGAAGTCAATGTAAGAGTTGTGAATAAAATTTCTGGTGAAGAGGCTGGATTCTGGGGTGCAGAAATGTGGCAAATGTTACTCACCATGCTACATCAGAAACTCCACTAGGCCCAGGATTAGAGAATTTTACTGGATTTGCAATAGAAGTCTCTGACTTTCTTTTGTTCATGATGTTCTAAAATATTTCCAACTTGGCACAAGGGTATTTTTTAATCTTGTACCACATTTACTTACATTTACATTCTGAAATGAATTTTTACTAATTTATATCTGCTTCTCCTAGACTGGCAGAAAAATCTGTATTTCTTTATTCATTTACTACTCAGCTAAAATACCTTCAAATACTTTTGCATGTATTTTATGTTTTACAAGAGCTAACTTGGATTTTCCATTCACAGTTTATCCTGCTGCACCTTTCCAGCTGTGGGAAGAAAGCACAGATACAGAAATCACATTATATTGGAAACATCGAAACAAAGAAATTGAACTGTTTTGTCAGACTGAAGTGATCCAACCTGATGGGCAAGTAGAACTGGTATGAAACCTGAATTTCATAAACAAAACCATAGCAAATATCTCTTTGATCTGAGATTAAAAAACAATTTCCCAGCAGTATCAATATACTCTAAATCTTGTGAGTGTGTTGATGTGTCTTTTTCTGGATTGATTTTCTCCCAAGCTCTACAGTCATGATGTGGTCCCTGTGGGCAGCCATTGCTGGCAGTAATTCACACTCCCAACAGTTCCTGTACTGCTGGCCAAAGTGTACAATGTGACTGGTCTGCGTATGTGGCTCTGTCCTCTGCTGGATGGATTCTGAGATTTGTTGAAGTAAATGAAAATACTTATGGGCCTTATAATTGCTGTTAGCTATTGCTAATTTTGATTTGTCATATTTTTATTACTCATATCGTCTTACACACAAATGGTGGAGAGGTGTGTTGAAGGCTTTTTTTATGTTAGTCCAGGAGCTTTCTGTGTGCTATTGACTGTGCTATTGACTGTACTTGATGGTAGTGTGTCTGGTTTCTAGTGAGAGAACCCCAGAACAGTTTTTCTTCCCATCCTCTTCCATCTCCTTGAAGATTATTTGAGTAGACTCCTTGTCTTGTTCCATCTCTTTCACAAACAGCTGACTGAGGCTGACTGACTCGTTGCATATGTACTGTGGTTTCTGTGTAGCCCTTTTCTTAGGAAGGCAGCTTGCCTCTAGCATGTTAAAAAGGCATTATGAAGATCAAGATCAAGCTGCATTCTGTCTTAAGTATTGCTCAAGACCTGTTAGATCAAATGGCTGCCGCAGCTGACCATTGCAGGAGACAGTTTGGAGGCGAGGCTTAAAAACATGCTCACTTTTTGACTCTAACCAGAACTCACCCAGTCTTTTAGGAGGGAGTAGGGGAAGAGGTTGGGGATAAAATGGAAAGAAAAGGTAGCTGTAGATGCTGTGCTTGGATCTGGAACAGCATCCTACTTACATGAAGTGAGTAAGAGACCCAGGCTCTGTGAGGATAAGATCTCAGCAGATTCCCTCCTTGATGTAAGAAATAGTCATTTGACAGGTTGTGAGTGACTCCTACTCAGACAGTTGCACAGAGAAGGTTTGCAGACCTCTTTTTGGATCTCCCAGTCTTTTGATTTTGTGCATATTGTTGGGTTTGATTTTTTTTGGGGGGGGAGGGCAGGGGTTGACTATTGTTCCATGATTATCTTTTCCAAGTCAAGCTTAACTGGCTATCGTAGGATCTAGAGGAAGAACTAGAACTATTTTTTCAGACTAAAACTTTTGCTAATGAAGCTGCACTGGGCTCTGACTGTTATGTTTTTCTGTCTTGCAGCATAATAGTTCAGATGCGCAACTCCATTCTGGTAGCGTCACCCTAGGTGGACTGCAGCCATACACTGAATACACAGCTAGAGTACACTGTGGGGCAGCTAAGCATTTCTGGAGGTGGAGTGAATGGAGCGAAGCCCTAACCATCAGAACAAAGGAAGCAAGTATGTCCAGCTGTCGTGGTTTAACCCCAGCCAGCAACTAAGCACCACGCAGCCGCTCACTCACTCCCCGCCATCCAGTGGGATGGGGGAGAAAATCAGGAAAAAGAAGTAAAACTCCTGGGTTGAGATAAGAATGGTTTAATAGAACAGAAAAGAAGAAACTAACAATGATAATGATAACGCTAATAAAATGACAACAGTAGTAATAAAAGGATTGGAATGTACAAATGATGCACAGGGCAATTGCTCACCACCCGCCGACCGACACCCAGCCAGTCCCTGAGCAGCGATTCCCTGCCCCCACTTCCCCATTCCTATACTAGATAGGACGTCCCATGGTATGGAATACACCGTTGGCCAGTTTGGGTCAGGTGCCCTGGCTGTGTCCTGTGCCAACTTCTTGTGCCCCTCCAGCTTTCTTGCTGGCTGGGCATGAGAAGCTGAAAAATCCTTGACTATAGTCTAAACACTACTTAGCAACAACAGAAAACATCAGTGTTATCAACATTCTTCACATACTGAACTCAAAACATAGCACTGTACCAGCTACTAGGAAGACAGTTAACTCTATCCCAGCTGAAAACAGGACACCAGCCTATTGAGAAGGAAACCTTGAAGAGTGTTCTTCACTTGCTATCTCTGTTTGCTATTTGTTTCTACTCCTCTGCTGTGTAGCTAAAGCAGAGACCTGTTGCGTACATAAAAGTAGAAGCACACTAAGCAATCTTTAAGAAGGTGGCTTCTTAAACAACTCTCATCCTACCTGCCAGTCTCTGCCATTCCATCCAGTGAAGTCAGTGGGAAATCCAGATGACTGGGAGGATGGACAGACTGAATTACAGTGTTCTGTGAGGGCTGGAGGAACAGTGCAGAGGTAGGGAACAAGCACCTGGGAACTGCAAGCAAAGAAAGATTATCTAGGGAAATGAACCAGACATTCATTCAGAAAAGGAAACAAAGGGCGGAAGAAGTTACAGGGTAGTGTTTTGGCAAGACCTGGGAATGATGGGGAAAAAGAGGTTTTGGGAGTGGAATTTCTTCAAATGGGAGGAAGCAATTAAACTGTTTATCCTTTCTGCACCTAGAGCATCTTTGTTTTGCTGTATTTTTTGCAGGTCCATCAGGGAAACTGGACATCTGGAGAGAAATTACACCAGTTTTGGGGGGGCGGAATGTGACCTTGTTCTGGAAGGTGAGACATTGGTACAGAAATGGCAGCAAAACCCTTCATAAGGAGGTTGGAAACTTCTCCCACGAGCTTTAAAAGTCTGTGTGTGCTTAATAGCAAATCAGTATGAAAATGTCTTCGAAGAATCTAAGACAAATATTATATATAATGTAATTTAGAACGTATGTAGCTGTATGATGGTGTGCTGTCCTGGCATTTCAGACATACACTTCTTTTTTTCTAAGTATTATAACACGACAAATCCCATTACTGAGCTTTCTGCATTTCTGTTTCAACCAGTATATGTATGCATGCATGTATGGAAACAAGTGTTTATATTCTTACAGAAATAATACATCCAATTAGTTATTTAAAGTTCTAAATGCTTCTTTCATATTTTTTTGGCAAAATTTATGAAGTAATTGATGTCTACCCCCATAAATTTTTCCCCAGCAAGCACCAAGTTTTCGAGCAAATGCAAGAAGTATTTCCTATGAAGTAACCTGGGAAAAAGTAGAAGATGGCTCTAAGCCTGAAAGCATCTCCTTTTCATCAGTTTACAATAGCACAAGGATTTCTATTGATAACCATTCCTACAGAATCAGTATAATGGCAAAGAACAATGTTAATTATTCACTTCCTTCAGTATTGATCATCCCTAGAGCTACAGGTAACAGTAGGAGTATTTTCAGTTAGATTTCCATTATGAGAGTTTCGTTTCTACCTATTTTAAGTGAAGTGATAATTTATCATCTTGGGGGAACAAATTAACCTGGCCTGTTAACTCACATCACAGCTATCTGGAAATTGTTACTGTACTTTATTTTTGTCTACAGGGTGGTAACTGTATGTATGTTAAGCTTAAGTGCCTCCATCCATCCCTTGCAGAGAGTTTCTGCAGAGCAAAACACATTTAGCCTTAAGCTAAGGCCTCAGACCTGTGGCAGGTACTGTGAAGTGCAGCCAGTGCCTCGCAGGGAACTCCTGTGTGCGATTAGCTGCTTCTGACTTTCTGTTTGTGACTCCAGGTTTCTGCAGTTCAGTTCTTTTTATGAATATATAGTAATAATTACTGGATGTTTTTTGAGCTGTCAGCTTTCAGCATACAAAGAGATCAGCTTTCAGCATGTGAAAGATGCCATATGTCTGATAGTGAAGGAACGCAACTATTTTATTATTGTTTTAACAGCTTAGCATGGAAACTATATTGATCTTCATTTATGAATCTGAGGTCTTATGCAGGAAAATAACAGACACTCTGTTTTGTTCATTTGTAGGCACCAAAGAGCTTAAAGAAGAACAGGTTAATGGTACAGATGATGGCATTTTTATTTCCTGGGAGCCCAGACATATATATGACAGTTACATTATCGATTGGTGTAACTTCCCAATGTTGCAGCCCTGTGATTTGCAGTGGAAGAGATTTGGGCCCAACACTTCCAGTGCTCTGATTAACTCAGGTGAAAGCCAAACAATTTTTCCTTCTGATGTCTGTGCAGCAGTCTTTCATGCTGTGGGCATTAATTGAATTTAGGAAACAAATCCTGTGGAATACGGAAGTCTGTGCAGTGGAGGTGTAATTCTGCAAAGGCATGTGGCATCATGTTTTGCCTAGCAAATGCATTAGACACCACAAATGTGCCAGCAGAATTAAGCCTTGAAAGTCAGCATAGTATTTTAGAAAAGTCAGTGTAGTATTTTAGAAAAAAAGTCTTTTGAGTAGCTTGTAGTAATATCTTGAAGGAGGATGGTAAGGTTGATGAAGGAGTTAAAAATATTTTAGCAGGAGAGATGCAAAATGGAGCTCTGCCTTATCTGTAATATGGGTCAGAAAACTAGACTCGGACAATGTAACACCCACTGTGTAGTGAGAGGTTTAGTGCTGTCAGTGTGGCACAAATCATGTGTCTCAGGACCAGTCCTTGCTTAGGACCAGTTGTGTGTTTTTTATCCCAGTGGTGGCCACTAGACCTAAATCCTTTCTGGCTGTGTGGAAGTTGCTCTGATACACTTCCACAGGTACAAGAACATAGCCTTCCTCGAGTCTCCCAAGCTGAGAGTTTACTCTGGAATGAAACATGTTTGATCAAAATTTGACTGAATGCATTTCGGTATGCAATTAAAGGAACTGCACTTCAATTCATACAAACACATGGGAGCCTGCGTCCTTACTGAAGGAGAGTGTGGTAACACATGGAAAAAAGGTTGTCCAGTTCTTGCACTTGGTTAATACCAATGGGAGTGATGTTAATGAGAATAACATGGAATCCTGATGCATGGGTATATGTCTAGATTAAACAGTCCAAAACATGACCTTTGTCTGTACCAGAAGCAGAAATGAAATTATCTTACTCTTTGATGCACTTGGAGTCTATTGTGCACTGATCTTGAATACTCTAGGGCAACAAAAATGTATTACCCCCCTCTATTCTCTCTTTCAGACAGAATAAATGTTCAATTTGCATTATGCACACTAAGAATTGGTTTACCCTGTGTCTCCTTCAGTTGCTTTAATAGCACAAGAGCACACAAAGGTGATTTCTGATGGATTATAGACCTCTGTAGAAAGCAGTTAAGTAAAAGCAAAACCAAAAGACAAACCATAACCTACTTTTGTAATCAGTTCCACTATTTTCTAGCTGCTTTTGTTCCGGGGGTGAGATATAACTTCCACGTCTATGGATCTGTTGCTAATACAGCCTCCTTACTGGAGAGGAAGACTGGTTATCTCAGGGAGCTACGTAAGTTGGCAACATATTTAGGGTTTGTGTATTTGCTAAATTAATCTGTCAAACAGAATTCCACAGCCTTCCTCCTGCAACTAGCTAAAAATGTCATCTGCTGTGTTGTTTCTATATCATCAGTGAAGCATTTAAAAGTTGTACAACAACGTACATGATCCTACATCAAGGATATTTGACTAGTTCAGTGACCAGGTAGAGTCTATGTTAATTAGAATAGCTAAACAAAGCTGTGATTAGCAGTCACTGCTTTGTGTATAATGTGGAGTATGTGAAGGCTCTGTGAAGTTGACAGTTTATGTGGAGCACTTTGGCTTTGTTCAACTTTTAAATGCAAGTAAGATATAAACAGAAACACCACATGGGAATTTAGCCATTTTCCAAGTAAGAAGACAAACATTCTTCAAGAATAATGGCAAGTTTAATTTGAATTTCCTTTCTTCCAGCTACTCTGCTTGACCCTGTTGTGGAAAAAGTTGAACTGACTTTCAATGCAGTAACACTATCTTGGGATTCTTACCCCACAAATAAGTCACAGTTTGGTTTCGTAAGAGGCTACCATGTTTACGTGTCACCTATACAAGAGAAATGCAGTTTGAAAGGATCCAAAAAACATGTTCTTCCAGGTAACAGCTCTGGGATTTAGGAATTTGTGTCATTGATATGGGTGAAAGACTTTGAGGCTGTTGCTGATACTGCAGCCTCTTAGAAAGTTCACATTAGGCAGGCAAATTGGCTGATTAGGCAATATATAGATTTCAACACCCACTGCTTTTGATTCCTCTGTAATGCTTGAGGTGCTAATGGGCAGAAGTAGGTCCTGGCTTTATACAGATTTATAGCTCCCATCCTGTTGTCCATAGCTCCTTTTAACTCCAGTGTGAGCTCCAGAAAAGATTCTTGTAGTACTGTAGGAGGAGTCAAGTTTCTGCCTCTTGTGATCTGACTTCTGGATGAATTTCGAAAACATCTGTTTGTGGTCTACTTGGATGACAGTCATAGGAAGCATGTTAGTTTTACTAAAATTTGGGGTATTTTAGAAACAGATGGGATACAATTTATTTCCTTTAGAATTGGAGCACTGTGTAAATTCTGTGTTTAAATTCTTTTATAGTGAAAGTATTTGTGGCTGTGCTCTACAGTGGAGTTCCTTCAGCAGAACTGAGCTGTAGGGTGGCACAAAGCCATGTTTAAACTTTTATGTCTGATTTTCCTGCTTCACACTCAAAACTTCTCCAGATGACTTTGCTTCATTATAATTTTCAGATGTTTTCAACATGTTCAAGGATTTTTTTTTTCCTTGCCTCTTATGGGGCATGTCCTGTATCAGACCCTTCTGCTGATTAGACTAGTGCCAGGCTGAAAATCTTAGTCTGAACTGGACGAGGCTTATGTAGGAGTTCCTGTCAGAACTAAACTAACCATAGAAGTACCATAATTCTGCAAGTAAACCCAGTTAGACTTTAAAATGTTTAAATCGAAGATTTCCTGCTTCCCAGTTTGCCTGAGCTAGCAGATAAGGGGTGTGACTGGGAACAGGAGGAATAAGCTAACCCTTTTCTACCTGGGGTCTGGGAGTTGCACAATACAGAGGCAAAAGTTTTTTTTTCAGGCAGAGATTTCTTGCTTTCAATTATCTTCAAAGAACTTGACCTAAGCTTAAGGGCTACAGGATTCTGTTGAAAAAAGAAATGGCAAACCCCAAATCATTCTCTTAAAAAGCTCTAGTAAAAGGAAATTAAAACAAACAGTTGCAGCTTTTGACAGCAAGTTATTAGGTGGTCTGCCAGAAGATGGGCGATACTGTAGACAGTCCAGTTAGAAGGGATGTGAGTTCAGCCCAGGGGCAGTGAGTCAGGATGCATCATCCTTCTCAGAAGAAACTGTGCAAGTTACAAAGAAAGTGGGTTGCAAATGTTCTGTTATTTCAGTGGTCTAACAGTCTCAGTTAAGCTGATTCGTAGTATTTTGGGGAGACCTTATCGCAACCTTTAATTACTTAAGGGGGGCTTATAAGAAAGATGTAGAGAGACTTTTTACCAGGGCCTGTAGTGATGGGACAAGGGGTAATGGTTTTAAACTGAAAGAGGGTAGGTTTAGATGAGAGACAAGGAAGAAACTCTTTACATTGAGAGTGGTGAGGCACTCGAAGAGGCTGCCCAGTGAAGCCGTGGACGCCCCATCCCTGGAAGTGTTCAAGGCCAGGCTGGATGAGGCTTTGAGCAACCTGGTCGGGTGGAAGGTGTCCCTGCCCATGGGAGGGGGGTTGGAACTAGATGATCATTGAAGGTCCCTTCCAACCCAAACCATTCTGTGATTCTGTGATTCTAGCTTATTTGTTTCATTTTAGATGGTTCAGTGCTATGTAAATACACAATTGAAAACCCAGAAGAAAAGAGATACACCGTGAAACACCTATTGTCGAACACAAAATACAAACTAGTGGTTAAAGCATATACAAGTGGAGGAGAGACTCCCATCGTTAACTTTATATACATAGATACACCGTTTAACTGTGAGTATTGTCTGTGGAAAATCTGTCTTCTAGCAGAAGGATGGGATGATTTAAAAGCTTAGAATAGTCTTCCTTTCTCAAGGGAAAACACTTAATTCAATGCAATATGCACTTGAGAAAGGATCCAACTGAGAAATGGAATGTGCATACTAACACAGCATTCGGATACTGTTAAGTAGCTATGGCTTTTTTATTTTAGAATGAAAATAATTTTACATCCTTATTTAAGTCATATCTTTCTGGGAAATAGCTTAATATATGCACATTTGCATGACTAGTGAGTCCTGTTTGCTGGAATGCATTGAAGAATTGCATTGTATTTAACTAGTTTTCTAATTTGGGAAAAACTACAGATCTGTGTGCAAACAAGTAATTTCTGTATAGACTCTTGAACTTCTAATGTTGATTCTTATTGTCATCAGTCTTTAAATCCATTGCCAAGTTCAATCCTTCATAACTCAGTAAGAAAAGGCTTTTGGCTTGAGCACTGTAGTTTGCTAACTAGGCAGATTTGGTCACCAAAGCAGAACAGGAAAATCACATGCCTGTACTTCTGTTCCCTTGAAAATACCACTCAGCGGACATGGTTGTGAAACTTATGATCCAAATGGGAGTTGTCCGGTTTTGAAAAATTTGTTGGGGGTGGAGGTGAAGGGGAGGTGTAGGAAAGGGTGAAGCATTGGCTTACGCAAAGAGACTTCGTGTTTTAGGCTAACTAGCAGAACAGTGTCTAAACCCTCATGGTACCCTCCCCTCTTACACCTGTGTTCCAGCTCCCATTAGCCAGCCTTCTCTTGTGCAGGCAGAGACGCTTGTACAGCCACACAGGGAATCAAAATGGGGGCTTAATTAACCCAGAAAAGATAAAAGGAGAATGTAACCCCTGTCCCTTCCCTGCTGGTGTGTGTGGTAGGGACACACAGACTTGCTGGCACAGGGTAAGAGGGCCCTGGCCAGGGCAGAGGGAGAGTGAGCACTGACTAGTGCTCCCTCTTGGCCTGCTTACTTCAGCCTCAACTGTTTGTGAAAAACATAGCCCAAGGCTGTATCTTCCAACTAGAAGGAAATACTGAGATTCTTGTGTCAGCATAAATCCTAGAGAGCATGAATACTTGTGTAGTGTCTGTCTTGCTATAGTCCATCCGTACTGGAGGTACAGATGTTCTGTCAACATCTCATGGTAAAAATCTGTCGTCTTTGGAGATCTGAGAGAAAACCTAAACCAAATCGTTAAGTGAGGTTATCATTATCTTAATTTTGGAAATTTACCCTTATAGTTAAGATGCCAACATGAGGTCAAATAAAAGCAATCTAGTAATAATTCAATTTTGGTTAGTGGCAGGTGTCCCACGTGGGCTTGATGCTATTTTTGTCCCAGAAACTCAGGCTATATTGACTGTAACTGGTGAGAAGATGAAAACAAATTTTTAAAGTGTTTTTCTTTCACAGCAAATGTGCTGTACCTTCTAGTCCTGCTAGTGATAGTTCCATCACTAGTAGCAGCTATATGCCGCTGGAAGATGAAGTGGTAAGTTATAATGCATTTTTCATTATAGAGAACGTAACTAGCGTAATTCACAAACCGCAGCTGCAGCTTGTTCCTTCCAGCCTGTTGTAAGGCCTCATTCATTTTTTCCTTTGGCTGTCCAACTGTGTGGATGTTTTAAGTATTTGGCTTGTGGCATTTCTAAGACACTCATCATCTGCTGCTGGTTTTGTGTACACATCTCTGTGCGGCTTCTGCTGGTAGAATATGCTTTGATGAGAGAACAAAAATGTCATTTGTTTTGCTCTCTGATTTCCAGGGTGAAGGAGTGCTGCTGTCCTTTAATACCTAGTCCTAACAAGAGCAAAGTGCTGTCATTCAAAGAGGTTACGGTAAGATCACCGAAAATCTGGTATTTTTAATTTTTCCATTCTTTGACTGGTAAAGTTTGAGAAAAATATTTTTCTTGTGTTGACTACATTTAAAAATGAGTGATACTCATACAGAAATTAACATAATTTAATACCATCATCATTTAGTGGAAAATTTTCCTTTTGATATTTGTGTGACTCTGCAGTGATCAGTTTATATTCTGCAGTCTGTTACTGCAAAAAGTGAAAGCATAACTGGAGAATAAATAAAATCTTTTGATACAGTAGGCGATTCTTCTAGTGTTGCTGTTCAAAACCCAGCACTGTCTGAACACAACAGACCAGCTGATACTGTACTTCCCCGCAGCTTGTGAACTGTATCCACCCACTCCTCCTGCCCCACACATCCAACCCTCTGTGGTAGGGCACAGCAGAGTGATGCAGTTGCTGGCCCTTGGGAGGATACAGTGGGTTCTGCCAGGTCTGGCTGGGAGGAAAGGATTGCCAAAAGGCCTTCAAATTCTTCCGTAGGCCCTTTAAACTGGGAGCTGCTACTTCCATGCTCTGTGCAAGGGGGTCGCAAAACTGGGAGCATGTCTTTACCCTGGCAGGCGTGGGGCTGCTGCTGTTTTTGGGTGTTCATTGAATGGTAGCACCAGAAGGAGGAGTCTGCACAACCTAACAGCCCATGCTGCTGCCTTGTAGTTGCTGGTGGTTCAGACTGAAAACCACACACATCAGAAACCTGGCAAAGTCTTTAAAGCAGAGGGACATGGTTCCTTCTTCAAATGTACTCATATGGAACTAACTTAAAAATCTCTAAATGAGTACTCTGAAAAATTCCACATAAAATGCAGCTTCCATTGAACATTCTGTACACTTTTTCCTTCAAATTCTGTTCATTTATTTGAAAAATCTAAACTAAAAAAATCTGTAAGATGATATTAGAAGTGCTTGAAGTAATCACTCACATTCCTTTACTCTGGGATTCTTTCATTGAGTAATTTTTTTGTTTTATGGTTCTCTTGTAGATCGGTTCTGAGAAAGTATTGAAAATAAGTGACTGCATTCCTGACATGCTAGCAGTGGACAATAAGGCCAAAGCCCAGAAATTACATCCATGGAGCCAGTTGTCTTCAACACCAACAGAAGATAAGATTGGTGGTCACAATTCTTCCTGGATTTACCCTAATGAAAATGGAGAGAGAGACTTTACGCCCACACCTACACCTCAGACTCATACTTGGTTTGAAAATTTTGCTTATTCTTCTCATCTTGCAGTTGAATCTGATCCCTATCATATACCGGAGACACCAGAACCAAGCAAGCCAGAACTGTCAGTACTGTTATACCAGCCACACTACTACTTTGATATTTTTAATAAAGATGCTGCCTCAACACCCAGAGAAACAGCTGGCAGAAAGACCAGTCTGAGATATATTTCACAAACAGATGTGCACTGCCTAGGGAGGAGGCTTTGATGTCCTCTCCTCCATTGAGTAAATCCAGTATTTGATTACACAATATAAATAAGAATTTCTAAAGCCATAACAGCTTCTTTCGATGAAGGCTTTCACAAGCCCAACTTCTGTTAATGCTGCAATGCTCTTGCTTCAGGACTAGTTTAAAAATACTGACTTGTGCACAGGAGTGATGTATGCTATGGTTTCATCACAATTTATCGGATTATGTAAGATTTGCAGGCTGTTTTGCGGCCTATATTATGTATGAAGTTAGATCACAGCAGTTTCTCATAGCCTGATGCGGAGAACTACTATATTTTGCAGCGATTAAAAATTTATTTGGAAAGTAGAGGAGCAAGTTAAACAAGCAGGTAGGCTGTTGTGCTCAAGGAAGGTATTCCACTTGCAGTATTCTGTGTGCACTATGTGTTCTGGCCACCCCTAGCTAGCGTGTATTGTGCAGCTGTGCATGGAGCACTACCCAGCTCAGAGTCTGCCTCAGCCCAGTAACAGTGGGATGGTGGGTTGTATTTTCTCTCTCTCAAATGATGTAAGGAATCAACATGGAAGGGTTACCTGCATTCAGTGTGGTGCATTCCTGAAAGATTAGAAGGAACCTAGAGAAGTTAACCCTGTGCACCAAAATCCAAGATCATCCGGCTTTTACTTTACCTGTCTTCTAACTACATTTGAAAACAGATTTTTGTAGTACAGTCCCCTGTTAGTGGGCTGCTGCTCCCATTTCTGGTAACTGGGACTCCTCACACATCTGCCTTCTTTGCCTGGAAGAATCACCCTTTAAAATCCAACACCCCCCCCCCCCAAATCCTCTTAACTAAACAAAGAAATGTGGAGAGTGGAAAAGAACTGTTTTTCCAGCAGGACACCTCTTTGCAGAGCTGTTACCATGGCACTCCTTCTCTGCTTGTGCACATGAACTTCACTTCTTTTGGCATTAACCCCTGCACTTCTGTAGCAAGCCCCAATCAACCTGGTAAGCAGACACAGTAGTCAGATGCATAGGTGTATAAATCCCATTTGTGAAAAACATCATATTCAGGTTGCATATCAGCTAGATCTTCCAACACTACTTTTGCACGTAAAAAAAATAAAAATATATATACATATATATGTTTTTCATGGTAATGCTTAGAATCCCTACAGTAGGCACTGGTACATTTAGGTCTTCCATTCCGATTTCAAAAAATTGTGTATTTGTAATGAATCAGAATAGTTGTAATTCTATCTGAAAGTCTCATCAGATTAACCTCCTCAGTGCACAAGGAACCTTTTGGTTTTGCCTAATTATGACGCTGTCTGGCATCTTTCAAAAACAAAAGAATTCAACTTAAGAGCTATGATGGTGTGCTCCCCCTGCCCCAACCTGACCTCTATTGCCCGTAACTCCACTCAAGCGATAACCACCAGTGGCGTTATAATGGATGCATCTGGTCGGAATGGCAGCATCCAGCTCAAAGTGGATTCAGGGGAAACAGGTAACAACGCAACAGCCAAAGGCTAATGTGCCAACCAAAATATGGCTAGTATGCAAATATCACTATAAGTCAATTATCTTACTCCATAAATAGCAGGCAGCTAGCCCAGGGCCCATTGAGCTCTTCTGCACAGCAGTGGACTGCACAGCAGGATCTCCCCTTGAGCAGGGACACCTCACAAGGTTACTCCTCAAGGTTGAGAGATTCCTTGCCACAACAGATTCTCAGTAAGTGAATTGGGAATAAGAGCACTGAAACTTTGAAGTCATAGCTAAATGTCCTCTATGCGGTAAATACCGAAGCATACCTTGCCCTCGAATCCTGTAAACCACTGTCGCATTTACCACTGAGCTTTGTTAACTCACTGTCTTAATCAATAAAGTACATTGTTGCTTCTCTCTTGCCAGTGAAGTGCATAACTCCATCTGCAACATGAGCACAGAATAAGCAGTTCTCAAAAGGGAAAAAAATGAAGTGTTTTTTACAATTTGATCTTCAGCTAATTTGTTCAAACATAGGGAAGACAAGTGCATTAACTAGCTAATCATAGTTCCTAAAAACTAAGCAGCTGCAGGCAGAAATGAGTTTTGCTACTGAACCACATCTAGGTTTTATACTATTGTTTATAGATACTGCTGTAATGTTGCAATAGGAAGACCAGTTAAGACCTTACATAGACTGGCTGAGACACACATGGACTGCAGGGGGAGAAGTCTTCAGGCAGGCAAAGGAGAGGTACAAACAGGAGTGCAAACACACAGATACCTCTAACCACAGTTAGCTATCCAGCCAACGCACACTGTCCTGTGTCCACGTGTAGATCACACATAGATTTACTTGAAAAAAAAAAAATTTGCAGCATGGTCCTTCCTTTCAGCCTTCAGACAGTGGAGTAAGGAAACACGGCTGGTCCCATTTAGCTGAACTGCAGTTTGACAGAGAATAAGGAAGTAAGAGAGGAAGCTGATGCTATTCAATGGAGACATCCCAGAGCAGCTTTTCTTCCCTCTATGTTACAGTGAATTTGAAAGTTTGATACCACAGTACCTTTGCGACTTAGAACTTCTCCGAAGTGTTTTCACCACATCGCATGTAGTTGCGTAGTTTAAAAGCTTTACTGTTGGAAAAAAGGCCAATAAACAGAAAGGAGCTGTTTTGCCACTACCAAAGTAGCAACTTCGTAGCTGTGCATTTCAAAGAAAGGCCTGTTTATTTTAAAAGGTTTAAAAGGTATCCTAAATCAAGGAGTTACACGTCTAAGGAATTCTGATACAGAAGTTGGTCAAAAAGATCAGACTATCCCATGAAACGTTTTAAATTGCAACATGCTGCAGTTCCTCACACCAGTGGACAGCTGTAACAAAGCGCAAATTCCTACTTCTGAAAAAGCGGCTTCCACCAGGGCTTGGCTGTGGTAATTCAGCCCCAGGAGTGAGCGGACGTATGCGTGAGGGTGCAGGCAACGTGGCTACTTGTGCCTTCCCAATGGTGGGGTGAGACACATTGGCCTGTGGAGTTTCCACCTCAGCTCCCTTGGTCTTTCTGCAGGAGATCCTGCACTGGTGAAACTTCGCTATCTGGAAACAAGGAAACACTTTACCCAGTACCAGATTGCTTGGCGAGGTGATGAGAAGTTAGCTCCTCTCTATCTATAAGCCTTTCCCCTTGCTGGCCCTGATGGGTGGTGTTTCATGAAACCACCTGTGCTTAAAAGCACACAGAGGATTCCAGGGAGGACAATGCCTTCCTGCCAGTCAAAGAGTACAGTCCAGGCACTAGAACTAAAGATTAGAAAAGTATTTTTGCATCAGTGGGGAGGCATGTATAGTTTTCATATTTTTAAGACATCTGTCTTAAAATGGGTTCAAAACTCTAAAGTTTTTTTGGTTGATAATTCAACTTTCACAGCAGTTGTGATGGTTTAAGTATTAGCATTTCAACAAAATGGAAAATTATTAATTCTTAGTATCAATCAGTATGCTAAATTTTAAAAATAAGAACGGTGTACAAGGAGTCCCCTTCTATTTTTATAAGACATCTTACAAAGCAGTAATGCAAAACAAATTTGACAAAAATATCAGGTTGTTCTAGTTAATTAGTAACTTACAAATATAAATAAAATTCCAACCCATTTCTAGTACCACAAGGTACATACAAGACAGAACAACTATAAGAAGTTTAAGTACATTTTATTAACAATGCATCCCTTTGACAAGATTACGCTTCAGGAGGCTTTTAATGCCCATTGACATGAACTGTACACACTATACAAAAAAAACCAGAAAAAAAAAAAATCAAAGTGGGTAATACCATTTTGGGACAAGCCTCTGTTTAAATTATACACAGCTCAATGCAATATTCTTACGGAAAATATATAAATACTTTTTCTTTCTATGTTACAGGTATACAATATAAATCAGATTTCAATGTCTGTTCAGTGACCTAAAAACACTAGAACCCCCAAATATGTAGCAGCGTATTACTAAATTAAAAGACCACACAGGACAGGGAAAGTAAGTCTTGAGATTTTCCTTGATCCCTTCCCTCCTCAGAATGGTTAATTTAGATAATCTCTTGTAATGCAGTTTTAGGGATGCTGACAGCCCAGTATTGGAACAATTTTTCTAATAAATCTACAAAATGTCTGGCTTTTCCTCCCTTAGACATTGCATCTTGTGCTAAAACACAGTATTCAGTGGCAAAATGGCATGTTACACTTTTTGGCATAAATTACATTTCTCAAATAAAATAGTGTATTTTACAAAGCAACTCAAGCAAAATGTGCAATTTCTGCATGCTGTGGCATTGCTGTCCATCCATGTTACAAAAATAGTCCAAAGAAAATCCACATTCTTTACTGAACATACACATCTGTTGAGAACAAAACGATCCAGGGAACCAGAATCAGGAGTTAAACAAAAACCAGGGGATGGGGGGCTTCTAGCAAAATATAAACATGGTTTCTAGTATGTTCCCAAAGGTCTTTTACAGTTCTCAGATTTTACTCTCACCTAGTATACCTTTAATAAGCACATGATATTAAAGAAGTGTAACTTAAAAAGTTACAGGACCTGCTTTCAGCTGGCTCCAGTGAAGCTGAGTAACAGGACTTCTGTGCAGCCCTGCTAGGAGGCAAGCAGAAACCTTGGAGAGGCTCTGAAGCCTGGCAAGAATTCTTCCACTGCGATTGCTCAGCTTGAGCTCATGTTCACCTACAACGGAACAGCAGCTTCCTGCAGTGCAAACAGCCAGACACCAAGTCCAAGACACAGACAAAGAAGCAGCAACAACTCTTCCATCTCTCACTAGGCTTTGATTACCTGTTTCTCAAATAGCTACTTTTCTCTTCAGGTGCCTAGTAAAGGTGTTATAGGTTTTTTCAGTCTCTCACTGCAAATTACAAATCTCATTCAAGATCACTACATATGTTTCATATTAAAATGACAAAAATATGAGCAGGATTCTCACTGCTGCCTTTTTAAATGTTTATAAGGGCAATGTACATCAGTGTGCCAAGCCACTGTACCCTACACTACCAAATACTTTAGCACTTCATTGTGTCTTGGGAAAAAACAGCAACAAAACCCAATGAGAGCACATTTAGGGTACATATGTCAGGTCAAATAATAACTGTCAGATGAGGAAAAAAGAACTGTTTCAAGCACAACATGCCAGGGGCCCAACATACAACTTAAGCGCCTCAAAGCCTGACCATCTCCAGCTTCAAGTGACATCCAGGACAGCTGGGAGCATTCTGCATCTCCGAATTTCAGACAGCTGAAAGGTCTCTCTCTCCAAAAGGACACTCACAGCACCCAGCTTTGTCCTCCTCCCCACTCAATGGAGAGAAACAGGCCCTAGGGGAAGTAATTTGGAGCCCTTTAGTTAGCTCTCTGCCCTTTGGAAAGGGCCATCCCTTTCCACTGACTGTAAAAGGAGACTAAGAAAATCAGCCAGCTAATGTAGTAGACCAAATGCGACTGGTTTCACAGCCAGCCTCTCCTTCCCACACAGGCTTTCCCCTCAGAGCTGAGTATTTTGTGTTAGCATGTTGAATCAGTCAGTTTTCTTTGCCACAGCAACTAAAGTGTATTTGTATATAGTGTGGGTGAATGCTCTACATTTTACCATTTATTTGACAGTATCACCAATTGTTCGGACTGGAAAAATACAAAGCAGGTGGTCTGTCAGCTTCCCTTGCAAATCTTTCTAGGAGAAGTGGAAGGATTCTTTATTAGGGTTAATATAAGCACAATTTTTATTTACTAATGTTTTCTTTTGAAGTTTTATCATGAAGCAACCCCCCCCCCCCAAAATAAGAACTTTAAAAGGGATATTAAAAAAAAAAATCTATAGTTTTAGAAATTCACAGTTTGCAACTAGGCCAATATCAAATTCCTTCAATTACAGAATCCCTTCATTTGCCAATTAAAATGAAACATTAATGTGAGCTTAATGTAAATAGGTAAATTAATTCTAGAAATGTTGTATGTTATGTACAGTACAGACTTTACATCCTTGATGCATACTTGTTGAAATCTACTGACACTCATACACTTTCAGAAAAAAAAATCACGTTTCATAACTGAATTTCAGGCCATAATTTGTATGTCAAGTTTCTGTTGTCATGGATCCCCACACAAGCAAGTACTTCAGAACACATACGCATTTCAAGATAGAGATTCTTTCAAAAGTGTATTGACATTGCTTTCGCTTACCTGTTTATAATCAGAGGCCTTCTTATGGTGCTTTCTACATTAAGTGCTATGGGTTAAGCTGGTAACAAATGAAGAAAGGTGGTTTTTGAAGTACAGGTGAAAAAACTTATTTTGCTTTAACTGCAGAAAAATAACATGGAGTTGTTGATGTAACCCCATCTAGCTGTTAAAACAAATCTCTTATACTCTAGTCTAACTGAGGTAGTGTTTGAAACTACTGTATAAGATATGCTAGCCCCTTTTTTGGGAAAACTACATTACTTCCTTTGGAGTTTATACCACTATTTGGTCTACTGTGATTTGACATTTTGGTTTTACAGAAGTATTTCTTTCTTATGACCACAGAAGTCCAATAGTTACTGGTGTGGTATGTTTTCAGAGCATTTCAAACATGCCTTGACACACAGATAATATTATTTGTGTCACTGACCACAGAAGAGTTGAATCAGTTTCTTTTTGCTCCTTCTTTCAGTGAAAACTCATGAAAAGGAAATCTTAAGAACTAAATTTGACTATGAGCAGCAACTTAAAATCTGCTTTACCAGAACTTGATGATATGGAGTGCACATAAGAACTCAGTGAAGTGATAGCTGCAAAGCAGTGCTTATGTGGCAAGATCAAATCTCCAGTAAGAACAAAGAAATTCTACATTTCACTAGGAATTGTGTTTTCCTGTTCACAGAACTAATTGATATCTCCAGTAGCATAGCTAG